TGCCGAGCCTGAGGGCACCAAGCATTCCAACATGGGCACACCAAAAAGACTTCTACCTTAGGCATGTCAGCATTTATCCAATCCCCTCACACTTGCTCCCCATACTTGATTTGCCGTTGAATTAAGATTCCTCTTGCTCAAGCCTTTTCAGACGAATGCTGGGCTGCGGTCTTGTTATCTCGCTTCTATTGCATTTGCACAGCATACTTGCCGTCAATCTTTACTCAGTTAATTGCCCCATGCAGACCTGGAAGCCTTCAACCTTGGCGCCTTCTCGTAAGAAAGCCTTGATCGACACCACACGACTACCCTCCTGCTGGCAGCTTCAGGAATGAAAGCTGCCGCATGGCGCACATCATCATCGCAAAAAAGTCTGCTGTCCCCGCTGCAACGGACAGGCTACATCAATGCATTTTCAATGAGTATACTCGATGTCTGTGCCGTCAAACACAGGCACCAGCATTTCGTCAAATTATAGCTGAGTGTCTTGGATAATTTCATGGCTTGCAATGCACAAGCAAGCCCCCTCCCTGAGACGCCAGCATTGCCGCGTTCGCTTTCGAGGACTGTGCCGCCTTTGTTGTGGATGTCCTGATTGGTCATGTGCGGCAGAACAAGGGGAAACTTTTGGCAACAGCCAGAAGAGTCCTGGACAACTTCCGGTGTGAGCTGCACCCAGTTCTGCTCTTCCGGCAAGCCACCAAATCCAGACTTCACCCCATAAATATTTTGGACCTGGCAGAGTCCCTCTAATTTTGTCGCGAATCATCTTCGTCTGCTTCGTCTTTTTCTTGCCAGAATGTGGCGGTGCCCTTTATGTCCGACTGCCATGTTTACGGTGCCCCGATGTCATGTAGCTTCGGTAAACCTACCTCTATGTCACACCTTATCTCCCTCTTTGTTTCTTGCTCTGTTTCGTTCGCGTGTTGACAGCCCGTAAAGCTGACTACCCCAACATTCTGCGCTTGCGTTCCAAGTATTCAGCTAGCTCTCCGGTACCTTTTCACTTCCAAGATTTGGCAAATGATAACGCCTTGCAGCATATTAAGAGCCATGGATCCCAGTCAACTATTCATTTCCCAGTGAAGGGCAGTGCTAAGTGGGCCAGTGCATAATCCTCCTGTCCCTTAGGGGTATCAAACTTAACGCCCCAGCGTAGAGGGAGGGTCGGTCGTAACCACGTCAGGGGGGAGAAGTGCGCAACCACAACATGTGTTTCTGTTACCACGACAGGCTTCTCAGTTATTCGCACGACAAGTGGAATGTCCACGGACAATGATGAATTTCCAAGAGTTGCAGAGCTCACGCTTTGCCATTCTCGCCGTTGCTTGCCTTTCCCCGGTCCAGTCAGTTTGGACTGCACATTAGGCAAGTAAGCCTTCCTTTGGAGACATACCCGAGACCCTATCTTCGGACCCGCGCTTGCTCGCGCGGAGCAGGCACTGCATCCAAACAGCCGTAGGGCTCAGAGAGGTCCTCTGCAACCCTAAGGTTGCGGGCTGCGAAACCTCCGAAATGAG